TTCTGTCCGTATTACTTCTTTACGCTGTTGAAACCCATTTTTAGGAAATAACGTCATTTTTCTAAGGATTGCTAGTTTTCTCGAGGTACAACTAAAATAGCTGGAATATTCAAACTTTCCTGCGAACTTTGTGAAAAGCCTTCAAATTTCTCAAGAAATTGTATATATGATAGAGAAATTACTGCTCAGTGTTCAGGGAGCCCTGCTCGAAATTCAAGGACACCACATGCGGTTGGTGTGGCTCTAAGAAACCACTAAAGAATTTCGACTACTAGTAAGGAATTTATTATCAAACATCTCAGTGTGTAGGCAACATCGCCGCAAAGTTGCCGATTTTCTTCTTTTCCAGCAGAAAATGTACAAAGCAACAAGACGCATTCGATGAGGAGAAGTTTGAACGTGAATTTAAGGCTCGAGTTATGAGCAGAATATTGGAAAAAGGGGATAAAGAAGATGTGAGTGGCGAGGTATGTGTAAGGTTATGGTTTTGCTCAGTTCCTTTGTCTGAACAAATCTTTGGAAAATTCTAAAGTTTGCTAAATTGTTTAGTCCCTTTATAATATCTTTAGAACTTTATGGGTAAATTCCTTCATTTTCATGGCTGCGAAAAATGCTGCAAAACCAAAAATTTGAACTTTCTAGACTGATCACGATGAACATAAAGAGACTGATCGTCTTCCACCTCTTCCCACTGATGACGAGTATGACGACGAGGTTAGGCCCTTAATTTTTGTGGTTTCACAGTACAATCTTTCCGAACTGTGCGCACATACATGCACTGCTCATTCTCTTTGTCGATTCATTTTTATGAGCGTAATCCAGCTGCTGGCATTCCTCTAATCCTTTGAATTTTATCATAATTCTCTGCAAACTCTCTGCATGGAGAGCTTGACCTGTTGCATTGCAAATTCATTGAGTTTGTTCCAATGTACTGATGTAGAAATGTACTTCAGTCTACATCTTGCATGGAACTCAGGACTGTATGAATACGGACCTTGAAACCTCTCACAATCAGTTTCCAATTCAATTAGTGCCATGAGGCTAGACGGGAACATAAGCGAGTTGTATTTAGTCTCATGAATAAATGCAGAGAGGACATAATACAGGGTGTCCCAAAAGTATGTATACACTGTTT